GCAGCACTCTCAGATGGTGTGTCCATGCACCTCAAATTGTAGAGATTACCAGGTGGCCGGAAAGTAGTTGAGAAGTGTGGATTGCTCATGATCTTTCCTCCAGCTCCACCATGTGGTTCATATTTATGGTAACTGTTGATATTTTATTACCTGACACTGCCGGATGGTTTGTTACACAGAGCCATCCAAGAAGCTGCCATTGGAAACTGTTGGTTGAAGGGCAAGCACTTTCAAAAAATGCTTGGCAGGTAATTGGATGAACCACTTGAACTATTGCCTAAGCCAGTCAGGACAAAAGTGTAAAAAACACATTTTCCATAGAGAACATTCTTCAGTGCGGCTTTTGCTCTTTATATTTTAATACGACGGGAATCTACCTGTGTGCTGTGTAAACAATCAGATGATACTTAGACATGTTAAAAACACAATTTCCTATTGGCTTAGAGTAAGGCGTGCTTTATAAACACTCCAGAAATCTGTTAACCAAAAAGCCAACCACTAAAACACCTGGCTGCTCATTCACAGTCCTTAACCTTTAATAGAAACAAACTGTTGCATCCAGTTTAGCATACAAAATATAAATGGTCCGATCTGCATAAATTGCCAATCTCATATCGTCTGCTACTTTAGAGAGGAAAAAGGGCAGGAAAAGGAGCGAGGTCTGTGAGCTGTGCAGTTGTGCGTGCTGTTTATCACTGCCAGTGAAAGGTCTGCATCAGCAGCAGCTGTGAGGTGCTTTGCATGCGATGGCAGCGGTGCGTTGGTAGGGCCAGATTTGCATTTGTGGTTTCATGTCATGAGCACCACCTCTCCCTTTCTTCCTCCCTTACCTTCCCTTTTCTCTTGCTCTCTCTCTGTCTTTCGCTGAACGGGAGGATCTTTCTGTGAGAGGCAGAAGAGCCATGAGAACAGCCTAAGTAGAGCACTGGAGCATAACCCAGGAAGGTTCAGGCTGAAACGGATCCAAGCATAACATCAACACTAGGCTAGCAAATCTCTCCATCACACTCAAGGGCAAAGTGGCACAGAGCTATACACACATGCATAGAAATATGGCTCTAAAGCTGAAGGCCGTGCACTAATTTGTCTCTAATGAAAGCACATTTTGTTGAAGTTGGCTGTTATGAATGCCACCTTTCTTTGACATCAAATGAGGCACAGTTATTCAGTCTCGCCTGTCGGTGAGTATGAGTTACATGCCATGATGGGGACTGTTGTTTGAAGTGACTTAGTTCAGTGTCTTGGTAAAAGGAAAAAAAGAAAGAGGGAAAGTTGAAGGTCTTTGGATCCGCATGTGTTCGTTGGAGTCACAGTGATCTGGAGGAACATCTCATGAAAGGGTTTCCTGTGGCTTTCATCTCCACAATGCGTTCTGATGGGAAGAATTTCCTTGCAACCCAATCAAAAAGAAAAAAACCTCATGTTGTTAGAACACCCTTCGCTTTTTGCAACTTGCAATTCCCTTATATATAATGTGCCTTTCTCAAAGTCAAATTATGTTTTTGGAGAACTCACCCTCACAAACAAAGGGGATATACTGTAAGTGTTTTGTGTCGTAATGAATCCTATTTAGTTGACAAATGGAACACAGAACTGCTGCACTGCCGCACTGTATTGGTTTCATTATACTTTAAAACACAATATCTGTTACAGGGTGATTGAGTGCTGCTGGTTTCTATTATCAACTTAAGCTCAGGCGGCATGATATGCAAAGAGTTGAAAGTACAAACACTGATATTTGAATATATAAATAGAACACAAACCTCTGTCTATCGTTCAGTCGATATAAAGGAGATTTTGTCTTTTGTTGTGTTGTGAGTGATTTGACTCCAGTTACTAAGAACTTTAAAGGGGCCCTATTACGCAAATGTTCAGGTTTAGTAAATGTATTTTGTTCCTCTACTGTGACATTTTTACATGCTTTCATGTTCAAAAAGCCCTTTATTTTTCTCATACTACCTGTTCTGCAGCACCTCTTTTCTAGCCAATAGAAGCTTGAGGGTGATGTGGTCATGTCACTATGTTACAGAAGTAAACAAAGGAGTCTAACGGCCCGTCCACACGGCGGCGTGCGTTGAAGCTTCAACGCTTCTGCCCGTTCACTTTGAATGGGGTGACGTCACGTTTCGCCAAACTGCATTGTGGGAGCGTTGCTCGCTGCAAAAGTTGAGCAATGTTCTACTTTTGAAGCTTCGACGGAAGCGCCAGCCAATCAAAACGCGTGCTTGTGTGTCCGGGGCGGGAGATTCATGTGATTGGTTGTTGGTTGAGTTTCAGACACGCCCACCGGCAAGCTTCAAGGCACGCCGCTGTGTGGACGGGCCGTAATCGAAGTGTTTCAGGCAGTGGGAGAGAAATTCCCTCTGGAGGGAACTTTGGAATTGTAGCCTTTGCAGACCAATTAACATGCACACAATCCTATATAACACAATACAGGAAAGTGAAAAGCATTATAGGGCCCATTTAAATTGACTTTTGACTAAAAAGCAATGCTGGATTACAGGAAAGTTAAGTGTGTTAATGAACTTGTGCTGGCTACCAAAAGTTTGATTGAGCGAGTCTCTTGCTGAAATTAAAAGGGGCACACAACCTTCTGGAAGTTTTAACTTAAAATATTCCCAGTGCTCTTGCCTCACTGTGTCACATGTGACATCTGCTGTGAATCTCCAGCCATTCTAACAGGCTGTTAGAGGGGATCATGCTGACCTCAGTCTTGGTGTCCATCTCTTGTCTCTCCTACCTTCATCAGACCTCACTGTTCCCGCTGTTATCACCTCCTAGCAGACTCCTTTATCCCTCTTTGGCAGGCTCGTGATAGACGTCTCGGCTCATTGTGTGTGAAGGTGTCTTTGTATTGGTGTGTAATGGTGCCCTACGATACTGTTGCTAGAGTGTTGTCTTGGTGTCTGTTCAACCTGCTGCCCTCGAGACCCCAATAACCACCTTCTGTGACAGGAGCTCTTCACTGAGCTCTTGAACTCTCTTCCACTTTTTTACGCAGAATATCATCCTCTATCGTTTTCTGCTTTTCTATAATACTCGGTGCCCTCTTTCGCTTTTCTTTTTTTGTCAGGGAGCAGTGAATAGAGGGCAGGGAGCTACAGTTGGAAATTAGCTTTTAAGTATGCGAAGTATGTTCATTCATTCTCCTCCAAGCCCTCAGAGCGCTCACTCATGGCCCCCCCTACAGGCATATAAAGTCCTATAGCGTCCCCTCATGCTGTTTTCCACATTCTCTGTTTCCCATGGTACCTACAGTTCCAGCGGGATCGACGCCAGGCCCCTTCGTTTCTCTCGCTGTGACCAGAAACCCTGCCAGAGCCCGTCCAGGCTTAAGGGGGAGCGCTAGCCTCGTTACCATGGTCACGCCAATCATAGTGAACTCGGCCATGAATGAGAAACTTTCCCAAGATCAGCTTTAAGATCCTGTGTGCTGTAGACATGTTATTAACAGAAAGAGAATGATCTCAGTTGCAATGGTTCAATCTAGGTTAAAGTTATAGATAGAGGGCTATACCAATTATTTGCAGCTATAGGCAGGTAAGGGGGTGAAAAGTTAGGACGATTCTAAGGGCCCGTGACTGACAGGGGCCCAAACCATTTTAGAACATTAAGAAAAAAAAGTTTAAGTAACCAATGTGATTATCTTTTCATGGGGCCCAGAATCCCTGGCGGCGCCCCTGGCTATAGGTGACAACATTTCAAATTTCAAATTAACGGGAACCAAATTGTGACGACAGCCAGAAAACCTCATGAAAGTGCTTTGCATCGTTGGAGAGCAAAGTCACTGTGTTCTTGGTTATTTTAAGCCCCATCAGAGATGTGAGCTCACCAGAAGCGTATTAGTCTTTCTGACAGGATATAAAATATGTTGAATGAGTGTCTGCAATTGTCTTGGACTGCAGTGCTGCTCAAATAACTGAAGCAATATTTCATATTTTTTCTTCAAATTATAGATATTTATGTCATTTTCCATTGAAATGGTCTCTTCATGTCCTCTCACTGCCCTGCACGTATGTGTGTGTTTGACTGGGATATTATTAACTCAAAGGCAGGATGGAGCTCATTGCATGCCCTACAGAATATTTACATTGGTTTTATTTTCATGGCTTAATTGCTTCCACATTGCTTTGTGGCCCTGGGTCGTGAAACTCGGTAAACATACCCCTCTGCCTCCCCACAGTCCCCTTGTCTAAATACCAGAGATGGGGCTCAATGATTGGTGCTCCTGCGTGCTTATCAATCACTCATCTGCAGTGTGACACCTTGAAAACTGCCTGAACAAGTGATGTGAAAATGGAAGACCCCACAAGGCTACACTGAGAGATCAATATTAAGATAACACAACAGCCTTCAGACATTGGAGATGAATGGATTGAGTGATTGTCTGTCTTGGAGTGAAACTAGAAAAGTGTGTTAAAGCACAATGTGTACTTTCTTGTGTATGTTGTCTAATTGTATCGCTTTGGGTTCAGGAATGTTGCTTAAAACTTGTCTACATTTTCCAGCTCACTCCTACATATACAACAAGATTATTTAGGCTTTTGATCTTATAGAAAGTATGAAAAAAAGCTCCAGGCCTTTGAGCATAGGACTTATATTGAAATTGGAAATGTTATGGCAGTTATAAAAGTATGTCTCATTTTTGTATGTCTTTGTCAGTCACATTTGACACACTAAGCAAAGAATTAAACACATTTGTGAATACAAGTTTTGAGAATTTTGGAAATCTTTATTTTTATTTCAACAGGTGAAAATGTGAGCTAAAACACCTGGTTAATATATATCGTTGTTCGTTAAGTGTTGTTTGTATAAGACGTGTAAAATAGATGTAGTGAAATGTACATTATTCCTCTTTTTAAACATAGGAGAATAAATAAAAAATGAAGTACAAATATATTGAAAGTACAATTCTTGAGTAAATGCACTTCGTTACATTCCACCACCACATCAGTTTATGTGAGATTTCTAACCATTTTGTGCGTTTTGTGTATCCTCAGGGCTCCAGAGATCATCCTGGGCCTGCCGTTCTTTGAGGCCATAGACATGTGGTCCCTGGGCTGTGTGATAGCGGAGCTCTTCCTGGGATGGCCCCTCTACCCCGGAGCCTCAGAGTACGATCAGGTAACATACGATTGCAGCTTGTTCCTCCAAACCGCTTCCTTCACGGTCACTTGTGTTCATGTGTGTGTTCTCTCCTCGCAAGTGTGCACTCACGAGTGTGTTTGGGAGGGTGGGATGCTTCTCTGAATCCCCCTGACAGGCCCTGATGATTCTTGCGCAGCCTCCATGTTTATCTGAACAGATGCCACAGAGCCACTTGTCCAATTAGCGCAGCCCCTGTGCTCCAGAGCAAGACATCGCCGCGTTCCCCCTTCTCTATCAGTCAGATGAGGCTCGGTGGGAAAACCTTGAGCAAGTTGTGCTTCATCACTGAACAAGCTCGCCTGATTTTTTCCCAAAAAACTACACAAAGTGTCTCATTTACAAGTCTCAAATCAATCTTAAACTCTTCAGCTGAGGTCATGTTTGGGTGCTGTGCATATTGCTGCCGGATAAGTCTGGAGTAGTTAATGTCAGCCTAGATTTTCAATCTGCCAGAAAAGCCTCCATCCTAAAGTTTATCTCTTTTTGTCACTGGGAAGAATAACCATGCTCCTTAATTTAATGCTCCTAATGGTTCAATCATGCATATGAGGGGAAAAGTCTCAAATTACATTGTTTCATCTACTGTTTTGCAGATCCGATACATCTCACAGACACAGGGTCTGCCTGCGGAGTATCTGTTGAGTGCGGGGACGAAGACCACCAGGTTCTTCAACAGAGACCCCGACTCCACCTATCCTCTCTGGAGACTTAAGGTACGGCTTGAATGATAGACACTAAGAAAGCAATTACTTCCAGGTAGCATCAAAAACATCCTTTAAAGAGCAGGAGATTTGATGACCCTGGTTATAAGCAAAGTCAGAGGGTAATGAAGGAAACATTTATCTGAGGATTTAGCAAATGGAAGCCCTGCCGGACGAATCCAGCTCCCAGGGTGTCTGCTCTAACTCTTCCCAATGTCCCTCCATGTGGGCCACTCGGTTAGCAGGTCCACTTTTTTACTTTTTTACCCTCATTAACTCAAGTTTAACTTTTGTTACTAAGTTTTGGATTGAATTACACAAAAATACTAATCCAGCTCTAGAGTGATGTTATATTGTGTCTAGGAGAAGAGACGAGTGCCTTAGTTTTTTCATGAATCCCAGTGACATACCAAACTGACAACACTGATGATGATGATGATGATGATGATGATGATGATGATGATGATGATGATGATGATGATGATGATGATAAGGGCCTTGAAATGAAGACATAAAGCAACATAGAGTACATAGTGTACATGCCCTTAAGTCAGCTGCACATAGGCAGTTGTCAAGTAAATGTTGTGAAGCCTTTGCATGCAATTTTAAAGGGACAGTTCACACCTAATCCGAAATACATTTATTTCTCCTAATTGTAGTGCTATTTACTAATCTAGTTTGTTTTGTGTGAGTGCTGGGGATATATGAAAAGTCTGCTTTCTTTAGAATATAATTAGACTAGATGGCATTCAGCTCGTGGTGCTCAAAAAATACATTTGAAAAACACAAAAGCAATATCTCTTTACAGAAATCATGACCCGGTTACTCAAGATAAAACACAGACGTTGTTGTGCGCAGTTACATGTAGGAAGTATTTTCTTTCTGCCTTAAAACACCTGCCAACTGACCACCTATTAATAAGGAAGCGTACATTAACTCAATGCCTAGAGGCTTGTGCTAATGAAAGCGTGAGGTTCAAATATTAATGCAATCCTCCTTGGCAGAGCTGTAAAGTTATTTAGCTAGCTAGCTTGATGTGCGTTGATACAGGTTTAGTTAAGTAGAGGGAGAATATTCCCTACTTGAAACTGCTTACAAAAAGGTAATACAACTATTATGATTGATATATAGCCCTACAGGTAAAAAGGAAAATATATATTTTTGATTTTTGATTGAACTGTCCCTTTAAGAATTTCTCTGTGAAAAAAGTATGACCTTATGGATAGAAAGTCCTTTTTAAAACACATTGTTCTTTAATAAGGGGGTCATGAGTTACAGAAGATATGAGCTGACAGCAGAACTGACACAGGGACAGATTATTATCTCTTCTTGACACCGCTGCTGTAACGTCTCTGTCTTTGGCATGTGGAAAATTAAACATGAAGCCATCCTGACCACTCTTTTCCACTCTGAAGAGTGATTGCTCAGCTTTAATTCGACCTTGCCATATGTTTCCACGTAATGGCAGCTGCATGTCTTTGCTGACTGTAATTAAAAAATATCATGTGTTCAGTCAGGAGGTTTCTATAGTCAACACAGATTAGTTTTGTGTACATTTGAAAATCCTTTGAAAAAGAATGATCGCATGTGTTTATACTGGTCCGTGCACTTTCACACAGTTTACTTTAACGCGTGTCCAGGTGTTTGAAACACGCGTGTGGAGTGAAGTTTATATGTTGTATATTGTCTCAGTGATGTAGTGTGTGCCTCTGCATGCCGTCCCCCCGGCTGCTAGATGAGTGTTTGTGTGCTACCCCAGGGTTGCTCAGAGGGCAAGCGGAGTCCTGCTGCATATCACCAACAAGAGGCTGTAATGAGCCAAATGTAAATAGTGCGTTTCCAGAGGGGAAGTGTGATTTGAGAGGAACATCTGCTTCTTGTCTCCCGCAGATTCAAGAGGACCACGAGGGTGAAACGGGGATCAAGTCCAAGGAGGCTCGCAAGTACATCTTCAACTGCTTGGATGATATGGCGCAGGTATGCTAATTCAGAGAGCATTACTCTTTTTTCCCCACGATTTGTACAATATTTGTCTTTTGCTTGAATCAAATACACCTGTTCTGGCAATTGAAGCTCCACTGCTTGGTCTTCTCAGGGCTGGTTTGATCCATCACATCCCGAGAATTATCTATCAAATATTTGAAACCCTTTAAACTATTTATCCTGCCAAGGTCTGATCTCCAGATGCGTCGTAGCTCGGCTCCTATATGGAACTTTACAGGGTGAAATGAAAGCAGCTGTTCACTGAAACTCCTCCTCAACTCTGCCTCTGGCTTCTCTTCATTTTTGCTCCACTGCTGTCTAATAAGTTACAGACAGACATTTGAGCCGAACATGTGGTGAGGGTGGTTAACGTCGATGTAAAGTTTGCTTTTCTTTTTCATGCTGGAGTGAGTGTTGTGGCTAGGTCTTCAGTTTGTACGTTTATAGTACATGAAGAGGGCAACTGTACAAAATGATTTACCCCCCACCCTTTCTTAACACAGAAACACACACATCCCCAGTTTCTTAGATCAGCTCAGTGGGACCAGCACCATATTGTGTCTTCATGACTCAGCTGTTTAGCTCCTCTCTCCCTACAGCCCTGCATGTCACCTCTGGGAATCTGTTTGTTTAGAAGTGAGGTTTTTTAATTGCCAAAGACCCCTTACTCTTACACCTTCTTGTTTATGTGAAAGAACACAATAGAAATGTGATAGAAAGATATTAGATCTGATGTAGTCAAAATATGTGAACTATTTCAACACAGAATACCCATAAAACAATGCACTTACATTAATTAATATAGCTGCAAGTAACACTGTACCAAAAGAACATTTAATAGACAAATATAGACTAATTTAAAATGTATTTAAGTTTACAATAATGTCAAAATAAGTGTTTTTGTCTTAGTGCATACATTAACACAGTTTCTCATTAAAGTATTTGAAATAATATACAATTTATAGGATAAGTTAAGTTGTTAAGTTTTTTAGACTCAAACATTTACAAAAAACATGTGTGCAATGAAGCCTTTTCTGAATTGTTATGAAAACTTTTCCCAGAGTCCATGGCAGAGTGCCCCTGACCCCACTTTGAGAACCACTGAGAGTGCCCTATATAGCACACTTTTATACGGAAAATATCTCACGAACACGGCTACATGTAATGTCACTTTCCTCTATGACTCTGTTTGAATTCATCTCTCCACAACGGTGGGAAAGTTCACAGGTAGCCATGACATTTTGATAGGACGTGGCTGACAGGGGAGATGATAGCGAGTCTTGTTTTGTCAACCAAATACTGGTCCTGCTGGCAGATATGGCGACGGTGATGGAAAATTACAATGTTTTTTTCCCAGGGCTTTTTCGAAATCTGTGACAGTACTCTCTTGTCATCGTGCACCTCGATCATACCTCTGATAATGACGCACCAAGAGATCAGAGCTAAGCAGGTTAATTACTTCTTTTGGAATATGGTCATATGCAACCAGGCCTGTCCATGTGGATACACAGTGGAGGGAGAGACTTAAGTGATGGAGATAATTATGGTTGTCCAGTAGCGCCCAGGGCCGTTGTCAGGCCTGTCTGGAATAACATGCTGTCGGCTGGGACAAGATAGCATCGCTGCCTGGGCTTGTTGCGTTTACAGTTAGCACACACACACAGGCAGCACAGACTTTAATGAAACCAACCTGCACCGGTATAATATCCCCTGGGTCATCTCTGTCTCCTACGCTTCAAGCACCGAGTCCCATCTTCCTCGCTGCAGCCAGACTCCATACGAAAACACATAGCAGAGCTGCAAAAGCCTAATGTGGGAGAAAACTGTCTATTTTGCCCTATCTCACCATCCCGACCGTATAAACAAGTCAGCATTGTGGACATCTGTCTCCGCGTGTATAATGGATGATGTAGCTGAAAGCCCTGAAAGACACAGAGGCTGGGTGCCAGGAACAGATAATGAACCTCCTCTCAAAATGTGGGGAGGCTTTAGTCACAAGTATATCTAATTTGAGTAAATCAGAGACTAACTTAGAGCAAATGCAGGACCCCGCTGCAGGCCTGGTGTAGACGGCTGCTTGGAAAATGATTCACTTTGATCTGCAATCCTTCAATATCTCTGTTGATAGGAGTGAAGGCACGGCAGGAGGAGCAGCACCTTATCTTTCTTTTATTACATGCACTTAAAAATGCACTTTTCCTCTCTTCTACTTCTCTTCCTGCTGAAAAGTCGAGTTTATTGCACACGTCATATTGTTGTGCAGGAGACAGGCCTGCATCCTGCCTGCATAGCCCTCATCTCCCGAGGCGTAGCCCGATCTGTCTCACTGCTCGACATCTGCCATGCCTGCCCTTACTCCAGAGTGGCATGTCAGCGCTCCCCACGGCACAGATGTGGCTCCATAAACAGCCGTTGACATGCAAGGCACGCAAGGCTGACCATGTTATTCGAAGCCTCTTGTCTTAGTGACCGTTTTAATTTCAAGCCAAGATTAGAAAATGTCAAATGTTGCTGTTATTGAGAGAAAATGAAGCACGGGACATGAATTTCCTATCTAGTATATTCATATATCTTAATTAAATGGATGATAGGAAAATTATGGGGCTACTTCTTATTCAGCCTGGGTTATTGTGGCACGCCTCCCAAATGCTATGCATGTGCCAACCAAACTGTGTACATTTCCCAAAGTCATCTCTTCCACTAGCAGAGGACGATGTGATTATTTCTCACCTCACTCCGTACATTATTCCTTTATCACAGCCAGCGGAGGTGGCAAGCAGAGAGGAATGGCTACAGAGCCTGAATAACCTGCATAGAGGAAGATAATTGAATCAGATTTGCGGTGTTGACTGGCAGCACATCTGATAGCCCCTGGAGCAGGCCTACAGATAAGCGCTGCGTCTTTATTAAAAACAGGCCTGCTCCCGCTGCATGGCAGTCACAATAAACATGGCTTCCTTTCTGTTGCGACTACTTGTTTGCTCAAACTCATACTACAGTAGCTATATCACGACCTTGTCCCAATCCCTTCATTCTTTACTCCACATGTATAAGTAAACCCTGCTCAAATAAAAAACCAACAGTTTTGTAGCTTTTCATAAGAGAAATCTGCTGCTGTGCCCAGTATTTATCCACATCCTTAGCTGCAATGTCTAATACAGATATGTTCCAAGGCAGCTTCCCAGAACCTCTTCAAAATATATTATGGTTGTCTCATGTCAGCTTTTCTCTGAGGCTCTCACAAAATGGTCCTTTGTGAACTTAGCCAAGGGCAGCATTTATTGCGTCCATGTTTTTTGTTTGTTTTCGCATCTCAGGAATAGATAAAAATCTCGACGAAGGCGCCAGGAGATATTTCAAGTGGCACTATAAATACCAGTGCAAATGTTTAAAATGTCACTAAGGTGCCAGGTTATCACTGGGCCCTGTGACACTCACACTGGCACCCTAACTGATTAATAGGCCTCTCTATGGGAATGAGCTGTGGGGGAATTATTTCTCAACACATTAGAGACCTTGAATGGGTCATTATGCTAAGATGCTTGTGTCTGTTTCAGGTGAACATGACGTCGGACCTTGAGGGGAGCGAAATGCTGGCGGAGAAGGCCGACAGGAGGGAGTTCATCGACTTGTTAACCAAGATGCTGACCATCGACGCGGACAAGAGGATCACTCCTATCGAAACGCTCAACCACCCCTTTGTCACCATGACGCACCTCCTCGATTTCCCCCACAGCACACAGTACGTGCCGCTTGTTTGTTTATTAATCATTTGAACTGTGAATTTTGACCAGAGATGGCAAAAGTACACACATCCAGAAGTACAGATACTCGTGTTTAAAAATACCGACTAAACTTCTTTACTCGAGTAAAAGTAAAGAAGTATGGGCTCGGGAAGGCTAAGCCTTCCCAAATATTTTTGTCACTGCATCCTGGTAAAATAAAAATATAATGTATAATGTTTGTGTCTTTGACATTAGCGCTGCTATGCAGCCACCTGTGCCCTGTAGGCCTACTACGAAGCTAGTTCAACAGACCCTGGATATGCTTGAGTTATCTTAACTAACCCTAATAAACGAGATCTCGCTAAGCGGTCATACGACGCTGGTTATTATCAACTCGGTAAATCAAGCCAGGGTTTCTCTCTCCAGCTGAGAGCGCGTTCACGTGAAAGGGGCGGGGTTAGCTACATTTGACCAATCACAAACAGGGACAAGTGTACTGACAGCGCAGCGTCACACTTCATTAATGAAAAGTAAACTAATATTAGACAAATATGAACTTTAAACATCCATGACTTAAACATATAATCCAGGATACAATCCACATAGTATAGAGTGAATATAGAACAACTGGTTAAAAAATAAATAAACTACTGAGTGTTTGAAAGCGTAACAGTTTTATGATATCACTGCCACGAGTGGATCTGACTTTAATTACATTTGTCTCGAGTGTTTCGTCAACTTAATGTGTTGCTTAAAATAATACTTCTGCATACAGTATGTGACACTGTAAGTATTGCACGGCCAGATACGGCTCGAGAAACTGACTCAGATAAGGAAATAGGCTATATGATATATTATGATATTATATGATCGATATGTGATATGAATGATAAGTGCGACACGTCGGCGTCTTCTCTGCATACTGCAGTTTAAACAGTATTTCCTTTATCCTGTAATATGACTTGATAGATTTAAACTCCGCACACTGAGCTCTGATCAGCAGGCGGTGCTTTCACTGAGTTGATCTCTTTTCTATAGACGCCGGAGGTGGGCAGCGTCAGGTAAAAAAAGTGATTTAGCCTTCCCAAACCTGAGCCTCACGCGCCGCCTATGTTCCCACCTCTGATTATGACACTGTCGCAGCACTCATTCTGTCTCCCTCTCTGTACAGTGTGAAGTCGTGCTTCCAAAACATGGAGATCTGTAAGCGTCGCGTCAACATGTACGACGCGGTCAACCAGAGCAAGACGCCCTTTATCACCCACCTGGCCCCCAGCACCTCCACCAACCTCACCATGACCTTCAACAACCAGCTGAACACTGTGCACAGCCAGGTAACGCCTCCTTCATCAGTATGCTGATGGTAACTTTTATGCTGCGAGATGCTAATTAATTTAACTATGGTTTACGGCGTTTCCATTGAAAAAAAAGACATGAGAAGTGGAATATTTATCGTGTATATGTATCACAATGGATAATTAAAGCTGAAAGCCTCGAGCAACAATAGGAAAGATGCGTCTTGCTTACACGCTCAGTCAAATGCTGTCTTAACCAAATAATCGTATTTTAAACGCCCAACTGTCAGTAGTTTACCAGCTCAGCAGCCCATGAGCGCCTGTTTGTTTCTTTGTTCTTTTTCTTTAGTGGATGTTTTTTCCTGTCTGTCTGCACGTTTCCATTCTTACTCGCCTGCCTTTCTGCCTTGGTGCATGGATATCTGTCTGCCTGCATTTCTGTCTGTGCCCCAGGTCCTGTGGGATTGTCACAAAGTGCTGATTACACACATGACAAGCCCCACTTCCTGCTTGCCTTGCATTCTGGGGCTTTCAGGCCTTAAGAATCCCTTCTCCAGGCTTCCTCTCTTTTCCCCTCCTCTCACTCCTGTCCTCCTCTGTCTTCTCCTCTTTCCTCCCGTTTCCTCGGGTTGAGCCTGTGGTGCTTTACCGTTTTCTTTCCCGCACGGTCTTGTGAATCGAAATTGCTGACTGCTGGCTTACGCCGGAATCACGGAGCGTCGTGTTGCAAGGTTTTCCAGATTGTGCTTGGTTACAAATCCCGCTCTCTTCCCCTCCTCCCGCCCCTCTTATTCAGTAAACAGAGTTCTTTATCACCAACTATATCGAGCCGGCTCACACTGTGTAGCATGCGACAAAAACCCCCATCTTGCTGTGATTTAAATGGATTAACATTCCCTCGGCTTGTCTTTTTCCGCGCCCGGCTCTCAGGGCATATAGACAGACTTATGTTAGTGATTTATTCAGCGCGATTCATTTGCAAGGCAGGAATGCATCTCTGCCGTGTGTTTTGCTGCTTCCGTGCTTGTTTATGATGAATGCCACAGTGGCATATTGATTATGTTCCCTCCCCTGGTGTTCATCGAACACGCTAAAGAGAGCAAATGAAAAATGAAAGCGCTGTCTCTGTGTTTCCCTCCGCCCCTGTGTACGCTTAATGAAAGGGCTAAAATTAGACAGCGTCTTGTAGAGCAAATACTACTTACGAGAAAACGGTGTCCCTCTTAAAAGCATTTGTTTGTTTCCAGGATGTTCCCAGGCTGTCTGAGTATGTCTTATTACTGGTCAAGACATGCAGCAGTTACCTAAGCTTACATAATTAGCGAGTGATAGTTGAGGGGAAATATAACCTCAGTCAGGCGTATTGATTTGGAGGCTAGATAGTGAAGCCGTGGCATTAAATGTCAAGTTTCGCTGCAGCTCGTTATCTTGGTTCATTATGATTCTGTAACATTTAAATGGTCTTATAATATGATCTCTTTATGACTTTACACACTGATTGCTGCTGTGTGGTTGAATGAATGATGTGCCTTTGAGTAATACTCAGTATAGTGTCATCATTATAATCTAAATAAGAAGTTTGTTTGCCAGTAAAAACGCTGATGAATGATACAAGATGATCAGAAGTCTAAATGTGCACCGTTGGCATTTCGCTCATTGACGGTTGATTATTCTAAGCATTGATTGCATCTCTCCTCACATTCTCTCCCTCCCTCTAATCAATCAAATCAACAGTGTGCATATTTTAAGATGCTTTCAAATCAGTAGTCCAATTTCCTTATTCCTCCATTAGCTCCCATTAATGATGGATGCCCCTCCACCTATCTTATCTTGATCCGAGGCTTGTTCTGCATCTTTATATGTGTTATCTTTTTTGAGTGGGGGTTTCAATTCACATTTTCTACATGACACAACATTTAACTTGCTCCAAAAAAATGTTTATAAAATAAATTAACTTACATCAAATATATATATATATATATATGAAACACTAATAATAAATACAATAATTAAAGAACTACAAAGTGGAAGAAAATGGTTGTCATCAAATAATATTGCATCTTTATATGTGTTTTTTTATATTTTTTGTATAATTGTATTTTAAGTTGGGGTTTGAAAACACATTTTCTACATGACACAACATTCCACTTGCTTCACTTTTTTAATACATCAAATATATATATATGAAACACTAATAATAAATACAATTATTAATGAACCACAAAGAATAAATAATATTGCATCCCCATTCATACCAACATACATGCAAACAAAAACCCACCCACCCAGATACCTTTATGCTTTATTTGCATTGTTTTCTCAGAATACTGTTATCTTTCTGTTCTTTACCATGCCTGCTGTTCAACACCCCCCTTGGTGAACCCCCACTTCCCTGTTATTTCCCATCAGTACCTCCACTCTCATGATTTTTATTTTGATCCCATCATTCCTTTAGGCCACCAACCTGGTTCCCTCCTCCACCAACAATGCCACCCTTTCCTTTGCAAGTCCTGATGTCTCCATACTAAACTACCAATCTGCACTCTACCAGTCCTCTGCTGCCTCCATGGCGGCCGTGGCCCAGAGGAGCATGCCCCTGCAGCCGGGGGGGCCTCAGCTCTGCACCGCCCGGCCCGACCCCTTCCAGCAGGCGCTCATCGTCTGCCCACCTGGCTTCCAAGGTAAGAGGATCTGACCAATCAGTACGCATTAGTGTAAAGCAGGGGTGTCCAAACTACGGCCCGGGGGCCAAATGTGGCCCGCGGACCACAACAAATTCAAAAAGTATAATTGAATAAGGCCCACAAATGAAACTTGTGCTTGTCTTATATTGTACTTCTTAAATATAAATGTAAATATATATTACACAATAGTATTCATGTGTTAATAAGCCCACTTTATAAATAAATTCAGTCAATTAAAGTTGGAAACATTTTCTAACATATCTTGTTGATAAAAAAAAAGCCCAATAAAAATTGTTTACTTAGCAAGCTTGAAATACACCCTTCCTATTTCTCCTTATTATAATCAATCTGAGGATTCTGTTTTAAGGGATGAGCTGCCAACACTCACAAGCAGGGCCGGCCCTCGGCATAGGCAGTATAGGCGAATGCTAAGGGCGCATCAACCCATAGGGGGCGCCGAAAATTGAAAAAAATAAAAAGTTAGAAATTAAAAAAATATTATTTTTTTTATTTCATAACAACACAATTTCCCGATTTTGGATCAACAAAGTACATCTTATTATCTTATACTAACAGAACTACGCCTATATTGCATACAGCGCCCATAAACTATGGCACACACCCCCCCCCAAAATCAAGTTGAACCAGTCCCAGTAAAAACCAGAGGTTTATGTGAAATTGTTCTTTTTTTAAAATAATGGTTTTAGTGTGCAATTATAGGTTTTAATTTTGTATTTGTATTCATTTAAAATAAATCAAACTCCCAAAAAACGTACACAGCTTCTGTGTGTTTTTATTAACATTGGAATTTACTGTGTAAGCGGCCGCGGGGGGGAGAGCTTTAGAGAGCTCTTTCCTGAAAGACTGAGAGGCTCTGATAACCTCAGCTCAGTGAGGTAAAGGCACACCTTTTATATGATCATAATAGTTATAAAAAAATAAGAGAATAGATGAAAAACAGGTATAAAATACTGACAGTACAAAAAAGTTGTTATTAATAAACAAGAATACAGTTTGAAAGGGGAGTGATTTGTAAAACATCCATAAAGAAAAAGATTCAATCTGGTGCTCTCAAAGTGCACCAGATTGATGCTTTTAACTTCAATATTAAAAAAAAAAGTCTTCCCGGGGGTGCATGCCCCCGGACCCCCCTAGAGGAGGTGAGGTCCCCCCCCCACTTAAATCATGTTCAAATGGATTGGAAACTAAATACAGTTGCATACATCTTGTGTCAATATCTTTGTTGCCACAACCGTGCACGCGCGAATCATAGTGAGTGTCTGCATTTTGGGGGGGGGGGGGGGGGGCGCCAGCTAAAATCTTGCCTAGGGCGGCAAATTGGTCAGGGCCCTACTCACAATCATCATTTACCTACATTTGATTGATTTTCCTAACTTATAACTTCACTTATGAGGCAAAATACCTCTAGTCTAGTGAGTGGACAAGCCCTTCGTATGTTTTTCTGTATGTGGCCCTCGGTCAAAAAAGTTTGGACACCCCTGCCTGCATTAGTGTGAAGAGTGGGATTAATGGTCATCTGTGCAACAAATACCAGCAATGTGTGTTGCAACAGAACAGACCATGATAATTCATTGCATCACAACAATAGGTGTTCATCTGTGGAATAACTGTAATGATGAGCTGAAATACTGTGCAACTTTATCTAAACAACTATTTAGAAACCAAATCCTGAATGGTTATAAGCAGGACCTGTGAACTCCTGCTTGCTATTTCTTGTCGTTGTAAAAGTTATTTGTTTTTGGTTGTTTTGTACAAAGAAATGATTTGTTTAAAACAATGAATCAAATATCACGGTTGCTGATGACGATGACCTAAACTTTTATTTTCATGAACAATGTACGCTAGAGGGGGGTAGGACCAGAAACATTTGTAACCTTCTTCTTGCCCCTTTTGAACATGACCGAAACTATTTGAGAATTTATTTTTTATAATTGTATACCTTGAAAGTATTTAGCTTCTCTTTGTTATAATTATATAATTATTATTATTATTTGTTTTGTTTTTAACATGTTCAATATATTGACTAATAAGAGATGGAACTCACCTATTCAGTATTTTTTTTTAATAATAATAATGTACCAGATTTACATCACTGGAGTCTTTTTAAATTCTCCATGCACAGACAGTTCTCCTGTTCTTGCATTTTTGCTGTTTTGTTTTGTCGCTTTGAGCCCACAGGTAGTCAATCGCGGCATACAAACAATGATTCAATGATAACTTGATGAGGCAATTAATCATTTGAAAGGAAATGTAATATCTTTGTGCAAGGCTTACTCACCACGCTTTTGTCTCCTCTGTGTTTGAACTGGGAGGGCGGGAAAGCTCCGAGGCATTATTCTGTTTCTTTATTCATTCTTTTTGTGGAATGGGTTATAAAATATCCATTATTAGAACTGTTCTCGTACTATTGCCTATTGCCATGACTACTGTTTTTTGTTTTTCCCAGGTACTGTTGCTATATCCGAACACAGTAGAGAGTTTTGACATATGTTGAATCCACATAAATCCGTGTGCATATAAAACAGTGATCTCTCGCTCTTCATTTTGCAGTGTTTATCAGTGCTGCACCTATTTGTTGACATCCTCTGTACATGTGCTTTATTTGCGCACAGGGCTGCAGGCGTCCCCTTCCAAGCACACCAGTTACTCTGTGCGGATGGAGAATGCTGTTCCCATAGTGACGCAGGCCCCTGGTGCCCAGCCTCTGCAGATCCAACCTGGCCTGCTGACACAGGTAGGAAAAGTATCACAGTGGAGAACTAATAGAGTTGTTTGGCTATGAAGAATAACAGTGCCTGTCCGCTTTGGAGCCCACATTCAAACAAAGCTCCCTGCACCCTTTTCTCTTTTTTTCATAACCCTCACTAAGAATAGTTATATCGATGGAGGCTGGAAATCACTCAATGTTCGTGACCCTGCACTTGCTGGCAGCAGTCTTTTTTTTTCCTGAGCTCATTCAGGCCAAGCCTCTC